ATCTCAAAAGTCCTTTTGTTTGATTCTACGCCAAAGAGTAAAATAAACTTGCTTGCATCGGTAGCGTTGCATGTAAAGATTAAAAGATCATTTTTGATATTCAATAAACCTTCAGAAAAAGAAGTTATGTCGGAAAATATGCAAAATTAGAATTTAATAAAGTGCAAAGACTTTGCTATTTAGCAAAGTCTTTGATAAAGTGTAAAGAGTTAGAACCTCTCATAAACCCCAAGGGAAGAAAGTGGAAGACAAGCTCACCTAAAGTCTGAAGAGATAAAGTGTAAAGAGTTAGAACCTCTCATAAACCCCAAGGGAAGAAAGTGGAAGACAAGCTCACCTAAAGTCTGAAGAGATAAAGTGTAAAGAGTTAGAACCTCTCATAAACCCCAAGGGAAGAAAGTGGAAGACAAGCTCACCTAAAGTCTGAAGTGACAAACAATAAAGAAATGAAAAAAAATATAGTTTAGGTCACAACTCAAAAATTTTTCATGAAATTGCGCAATAACTGCAAAGATGATGCAAAGATAACATATCCACAACAATACCAAATAAAAGCTTTGTCTGATCAAGACTTAGATATCAATGTTTAACATTTTGAAAACTGATTATTTTTTATTTTGGTTTCTCTAAAAAAGTGACTTGCGAAGTAAAACACAAAAACACGTTAAATCCTAGAAAAAAAAACATTTTTCATATTATTTATCATATAGGGGTTCAAAAGGTACCGTTGGGCATTGCCATTTTTGTATTGGAGGTCACCTGAAGTACAACGCTTCATTTACTTTAATGTGTAAAAAACTCGTAAAAATGCTATATAATCATAAGACTTTTAAACTTGTAGAATAATACAAATTAAAAATTTCGAAATTTCCAGCCTTTAAAAAAAGTCCTAGCCCATCAGAAACAAGGAGACTGGATAATATTTGTTCATAATCTTTGTATCTAGGAATTAAGCCTTAGCTACAAACTAAAATTTTCTAATCTATATATTTTTGCAGCCTGATATTTGATATTTCAAGCTTAGATTATTTGATCTAACATAAATCATAGTTTTAAATGTCCAAGGCCTACTACATTGGATTTAAAAAATATAGAAAATAAGAGTTGTGTCAAAGACTCAATTTCTTTCGCTTATCTGTCTATCTCTTAATAAATAATCTCTAAATAAAAATGGCAGAATAGATCGAGTCCACTTGATTAAGGCCACTCTCATTATTCCAAAATATTTTACCAAGAATAAATGTGAACATTTAAGATTTTTGAAAACTGCAAAATTTTTGTTAATTAAAATACGTTGAAAATGGGGACTCGAAAATGAAATAAATTGTTGTTTTTTTAATCTTTGTGACAGAAACAATCTCAAGGAATAATAATTGTCTTTAAACATTAAAAGTGAATATTTGAATGTTATCTTTTTTCCATCTCATAATCTGAGTTCGTTTCCCTTATGTTCATTTGACAGCCCCAATTTTTTTTTGAATAATCGTTCTTGTTTTTTTTCTTGTGGTTTTTAACAATTTTTTAAAATTTTTTTATCGATTTTGATGGTTATTATATCGTTAAAACTGACAAGGGTCAACCCAGACCAATAAATGTGGAACTAACATCTACTTTTTTTACTCTACAAAGGTTTGGGACATCACCATCACCGAATTTGAAATAAATGGTTTCTAAAAAGCCTATTAAACTCAATTCTATTCCTGGAAGCAGTTGCCCAAAGTGTTCTGAAAGCGTATAGCTATCAAAAAATAAAACCAATCAATCTTTATTCAGTAGTATTTGCGGTATTGTTTGTTTAATTATATAGAAACCCTGATGGGAAATTTACCAAGCAATTAATGAAATAGGTAATTAATTGTTTTGATATTAACATTTGGTATAATTTATTATAAATAAAAAAGAAGAATAAGTATGAATAAAGATGATTATTATCTATAAGTATATTTGGAAATATTATTTAAAGTAATGTATTATAGGCTCTTAATAAGTATAGCTTTAAAAAGTTTCATTTCTATAAGTCAATATTTGTTCTTACTTCATAAAACTAAAATATTTCGCAGTTTTGCTTTTATAGTAACATTTTTTATCTTTTTGATCGATTCTGTTGGAAATCCAACAAGGTTACCCAGAAAGAATGAGACTTCAGAGACGACAGTACAGAATTTATTCAGTCTTCTTTCATAAATTAACGGCTCCCTGCAGCTATTATCTTGTTTTTGTTTTTGCTAAATCATACTATAAACCATAAACAGGCTTTGTTTTAAACAGAAACCCTAATCCAACCTAAAGAAAGTGTAATTAAAAGGTGGCCATTAAAGTCTCATTCTTTGTGGGTAACCCTGTAACTATTCATGAAGCAATAAAGTTAGAATTTATTTTGGCAAGAATTTGTTAGTTCCTCCCGGGAGAACTGGGCTTACCAGAGAATTTAGAAGAAAATTCGCAGTAGATCAGACAGATATCCCTTGTTAGACCTCGCTCAGTAGATTAGACAGATATTCCTTATTAGACCTCACTCAGTAGATTTGACAGATATCCCTTGTTAGACCTCGCTCAGTAGATCAGACAGATATCCCTTGTTAGACCTCGCTCAGTAGATCAGACAGATATCCCTTGTTAGACCTCGCTCAGTAGATCAGACAGATATCTATAGTTAGACCTCGCTCAGTAGATCAGACAGATATCCCTTGTTAGACCTCGCTCAGTAGATCAGACAGATATCCCTAGTTAGACCTCCCTCTTATAGGAAATACAGGGTTACCCATATAAGAGGAAACATTTATGAAGACCTTTTTATATTTCGTTCTGAAGGTTAAATTTAATAATTACCCTAAACAATTTTGCAATGGAACAAGTTTATAGCGGCAGGAAGCAATAAATGCACAAAAATGTTGGATAGTTTCCATTAAGCCACATTAAAGTCACATTCATTGGGGTCATGGGTACCCCAGAGGGTCGGAACCAGAACAGAACAATATCTCGTGTTTAAACTTATACATTGGGGTCATGGGTAACCCAGAGGGTCGGAACCAGAACAGAACAATATCTCTTGTTTTAACTTATACATTGGGGTCACAGGTAACCCACAGGGTCGGAACCAGAGCAGAACAATATCCCTTGTTTTAACTTATACATTGGGGTCATGGGTAACCCAGAGGGTCGGAACCAGAGCAGAACAATATATCTTGTTTAACTTATACATTGGGGTCATGGGTAACCCATAGGGTCGGAACCAGAGCAGAACAATATTCCTTGTTTTAACTTATGCATTGGGGTCATGGGTAACCCAGAGGGTCGGAACCAGAACAATATCCCTTGTTTTAACTTATACATTGGGGTCATGGGTAACCCAGAGGGTCGGAACCAGAGCAGAACAATATTCCTTGTTTTAACTTATGCATTGGGGTCATGGGTAACTCAGAGGGTCGGAACCAAACAATATCCCTTGTTTTAACTTATACATTGGGGTCATGGGTAACCCAGAGGGTCGGAACCAGAGCAGAACAATATTCCTTGTTTTAACTTATACATTGGGGTCATGGGATAACCCAGAGGGTCGGAACCAGAAGAGAACAATATCCCGTGTTTTAACTTATACATTGGGGTCATGGGTGACCCAGAGGCCGGTCAGAACCAGAACAGAACAATATCCCTTGTTTTAACTTATACATTGGGGTCATGGGGAACCCAGAGGGTCGGAACCAGAACAGAACAATATCCCTTGTTTAAACTTATACATTGGGGTCATGGGTAACCCAGAGGGTCGGAACCAGAACAGAACAATATCCCTTGTTTAAACTTATACATTGGGGTCATGGGTAACCCAGAGGCCAGTCGGAACCAGAGCATAACAATATCCCTTGTTTTAACTTATACATTGGGGTCATGGGTAACCCAGAGAGTCGGAACCAGAACAGAACAATATCCCTTGTTTTAACTTATGCATCGGTGTTATAGCAAATACAGGGTTACCCATACATAAGAAGACATTTTATGGGCGACCTGAAACTCTTTATATATTACGTTCTAAAGGTTAAATACAGCATAAATATAGCCCTCCAATATAGCCCTCCAATATAGCCCTCCAAGAGTTAAATTTTTCTTTCTTCATTTTTATTGCAATTACTTAAATTTGTAGGTTTTTAAAATAAGTTTTATTAATCCGGTTCTGTGTCTTAATGTTAATCCGAAAGTTAAGTTTTTTATTGCTGTTTTTTTCATTACATTTTTATTCCAAGGTGTATATATTGGTAAAGTGCAAAAAAATCAAAATATTGAAAAGAGAAGTGAATTAAAATATTTATATTTTCTTTTGAGATTTGAGTTGAAAGGAACGGACAGACAGAGAAAAGAAATTCAATTTGGAAAAATAAAATTTAAATTTAATTAAATAAGCCATGAAGACTATTAGGGTCTAAATTTATGTGGTTTTAAGGTTTAACATTTATGCATTAAAAACATGTTAAAAATGGTGCAGTTTTTTTTATAATTTGTTTTTTTTAAATTCCTCAAGTATTCATTTATTAAACTAAACTTAAACATAAAGGGTGTCAAAAATCAGCGCGAATTAAAAAGATTCTTAAACATGTCTATTTTTAACCTTTACATTTTTCACAATCTATAAAACCTATACTGTTTTTTTCAATATTACAAATAAATCTATCTTTTTCATTACTATTTTGTCGAATAATACTAACAATCCACCACTAGTTTGTATTAAACATGATGTAAACAATAAAAATGTAACTTTCCTTTTCCCATCCCTTCCTTTTTCCTTTTATTTCTATTTTTTATATTTTTTAGAATTGTGGGAGAAATATTCCCACAACCTCTATTTTCGGAGGTTTTCATGTATTTTCTCCTTAAACACTTAATTTTGTATGTTTTTGTTATTTTTCATAAATAAATGATTTCTTACTTACTAAACTAACTATCTATCCATCTAATCATGGTGTATTGTTAAACTTGGCAAGAACAGTGACCTGAACACTAAACATTCTTTCCTAGTTCAGTCTCAGCCTTTCTCAGGGCATACTCGGATACAGTCTAATCCTAGATAAAGATATGGCTTACCTAGGAGAAAGGGATCGGTTGGAAGGACGGATTGCAGGGAAGGATCTGAGAAGAGCGCTATGGACTGAACCCCCTACTGTTCGACTCATGCCCGGAGTTCCTCGTAAAATGGATCATAACCAGAGGATCAGGATCAAGAAGGATTGCGACGAAGTGTTCCCGGGGATTATTATTTCTAACGGAGATACGATCAAGGATCTAGGATATCTTCTAGATCTCGGAGTTACTCATGTTCTTAACACTGCCGAGGCCGATGTTAGGATTGATCCTACAAAGTTTGCCAAAAACGGAATTTGCTACAAAGGATTTTTATGCAAGGATATGCCTCATGCAAACATTACTCAGTTTTTTGAAGAGTGTGCAAATTTCTTGGAGCGTGCGCTGTCCATGCGCTGCGGATTGGTGGTTGTTAACTGTCTCATGGGGTACTCCCGTTGCTCTACCATTGTTGCCGCATATCTCATGCTTAAGAAGAACTACACTGCTACACAGGCACTACAGTACATGAGGAACAGTAGAGAGATACAACCTAACCTTGGATTTCTACAGCAGCTTGCTACCCTGGATAATCAGCTGAGAAAGGACAGATACAGAAAATACAACGCTATTGAAACTAAAATCAATTATTCTATTTAATTTCATAAAATATGAAAGTAAAACTCAAACCAAATTAATGCCATAGATAATTTTCTAAAAAGACACAAGTTGCTTCTTGGTGTTATTTATTTCAATAACAATTTAAAAAAAATGTAAATATATCTTAAAAATAAAACTGTTTATTGTACATTTTTGAGAAAAAATACTTGTAATCATAAATAAATATTTTCGTTTTTTTTATTCAGAGAATCCATTTTTGTTTCCGCCAAAGACATAACACCTTGGGTAATGCCAGGGTCTACGCAAAATTGGTTCATTTGACTTAATGTTTGAGCATTAAAAAACAGCACATTCAAAATAGCCTACGGCTATCCAAACATACATCTGGAATAAAGTGTTCGTCACTAAAAAAAAACTAGTAAAATCTGCAATTACACTATTTTTTTAAACAAAGGGTCGAGAGTTCCTCGTGTATTACTCTTAAGAAAAAGTACAGGGTGTCCAACGAAACATGACAGTTGGTAAATACTTTAAAATGTCTTCTTCCGTACATTGCTTAGTTAATTTGATTTCAAATTAAAATATTTTTGATTTGTTTAACAAAATAACTGCAAAAGTCTCTATTACATATCATAAAACGTAAATTGGAAGGAAGGAGACATTTAAAACTATTCACCAACTGTCATGTTTTGCAGGACACCCTGTAGAAACCCAGAATGTAAAGAATAGATAACGGTATAGAGAATAGAATAATAAGAACAAGAAAGCTCTTCTATCTCATAATTCAGGAAATGTATCACAAATAGACATATTTATCATAAGCCGTCCAATCATCCCAGCATACAATATTGACAGGGGGACTTAACAATGGATAAGAGGCTGGAACTTTTGTATTCTTAATCCTTTTAAAGAGCACTAATCCCAAAGGCACCCGCAGTACATTTGAATTTTCGAGCCGGTCCCAGTTTGTACTGTATCGCCCGGACATCGGGTAAATAGGACTAGCCGGTGCAACAAGGTTGACGCGGTCAGACTTTAGGTTGAATTCACTTTTACTAAATTGTCAAGGGTGCGTGATCCGTAACTTCAGCTGATTAATTTTTAATCACTTTAAATAAAAAGTTTCCACCATGCTAGTTTAGACGTTTAAGAGCTCTATGTCCTTTAAAAGTTTCGACCTAAATAATATTTATAAACGTTTTTAATTTATCTAAATCAAAATACATATTGATCCTCCAGCAGTGCAGGACATATATAAATATATATTTTTGAATATCATATATTTGTTTAAAACAACTTCATGATATGTCCAGTCAAATTATTCAATGAACATGACATGTTTGTCATATAATTTGGAAATGAAGTTCAGATAGTAGTACCAAGTATTAATAATATTTGTTTCAGAAGTTTCATTCAACTTTTGAGAATGTTAATTAAGTCTTTCATTAAATTTAAAGATTGTAATTCTTTTGAAACTTCTATAAAGAAATATGTTATTTAGCTATTTTTGCAAGAAAAGAGCAGCAAGGGGGTTCAAATTCCCCTCCCCTCTGAAAGATTTGTCTGTAAAGCTTTATAATTTTCAAAATTTTCACTCTTTAAACGTTTCTATTCTTTAGTATGAAAATATATAATAGATAAAAAATATTTTCAAATACAAATCCTTTACAGCCTTATGATGTAAACTTTTGATATTTCAAACTTACATTATTTGATCTAATATCTTTCGAAGTTTGAAATATTAAAGGTCTACGACATTGGGTTGCAACGATATTGAAATTAGAAACTCAGAGTTTGTGGCAAAAACTCAATTTCTTTCACGTTAGGTTGAAATCTTGCACATGTTTAAAAATTGGTGTGCTTGTATTAAAATAACAGTATACCATTAAGGAATCTTAAAATTCGTTTTTAAGGATTCAAAAATGGATGAATCTTTTAATACTTGTGAAAATTGAAAAGTGTAGTTATCGATATATATCGATTTTTGTTGAAATATCCCTGGAGTCTCGTACCTACAGGTATCACACTTAATGAACTTAAAACTTAAACTATGACAATATATTGGTCTTTCCACGATTCTTGTAAAATTTATTGAAATAAATTTGAAATATGTTGCGGCAATATTTTTAGATAGAAAGCAAGATATAATTATTCCGGTCAGTGTGCGTAGTAGAAAATAAAAGGGAGGGGGGGAGATGCCGTAATTTATTCCCTCTCCTTTCCCAAAGTATTCAATCGTTTGTGATTTGTGCCCCCTCCCCCATTATTTAAATTATGAAAAATTACAAATGCAGTTTTACTAATAAACTATTCTTGCATTTTGCCCGTTTTTTTTTTATCAGAAACTGATTACTCAATCATCTTAAACATGAAAAGGGGCCCATTTTCTGAGGATGGGGATAGGGGCATAACCATTTCTTCCAATTCTCTCCTTACCTTCTATTTACAAATAAGTTGCAGTTCCATACTGCAGGTGTACTTCACATATTTATGCTACATAACCTTTTGGGCCCTGGAATATAATTTTATAGAAAATCTAAAATTAATGTTAAAAGAAAACCAAATTATGAAATAGGCTGGTTTCATAATTGACCAATGATCATTTCACATAGACTCTATGCCTTTCACTTTACAAACGATGATTTTCCGTTTTAACTATAAATCAAATGATGTTTTTATTCACCTAACTCATTAGAAAGTTTATTTAACAGCTTTATTCGAAATTGAAATGAATAGTCTAGGGAACATACTGTATTAATGTACTCTACTGCATATAATTTCTGAACATTTACATGATTTGTACACTTTGAACTCCCATTCAGACTGAAAGGGACTAAATAAATTCATACCGAGAAATTCTCTAAATTGTATTCTCTATGGTTTTAAGGTAGGAAATATCCCTAACCAATGTTTACGTAAAAAATGTTAAAATTTTCAATATTTTAGAGAATTTACATTTTTATCTCCTCCGAACATTAAACTGTATTAATAATCATAAAAGAGCAGAGAACTACGGGGTGATATCACATAGATCCAGACTTCCATAAAAAGTAGCATCACATTTTTCAAGACTGTATCGACTTTGAAGTGTAGAAAAATCTTAGCCTTTTAACCTCCCTCTTACTTTACCTACCTCTTCCTTTACCTCCCTCTTCATTTACCTCCCTCTTACTTTACCTACCTCTTACTTTACCTCTAAAAAATCGTGTCCCTTTTCAAGAGTTTATTGGTTCTCACTCTCTAGTTCGGCACGACTGTGTTTGCTCATATCGCCTTCTAATAATTCTAAAACTAAAATGTATTTTGGATATTCTATAATATTTGAAAATAATTCCTAGTGAATAAATCATATAAAGAAAAGTTTTCACAAAATATAGTTTATCAAAAGAACTCTTAAAATGTTTTCACTATTTCAGCATTGTTGATCAAAGTGTCAAATGTCAATTTGTTTTCTGTTGTCGTCAAGTTTTTTTCACAAACGCTGCAATTCTTATCTTTATATCTTTGCAAATTGCAACCCTATGTCGAACAGCTTAGATAATTTCTTTTAGGTCAAATAATCTAGGTTTGAAAAATGAAAGGTTTATATCATCTAGTGAGTAGAACGTTAAATTTTCTGAAAAATGCTTAATTTCTTCTTATCTCATACGCGTGCTTAAATCATTGCTCTAAACCTTTTTGGAAGTCTTAAAAAAAACATAACATGCAAATAAATGCATGAAAATCGTGAAAGGTTTTCCTGCTTTCCTCTCTTTGCTCTTGAAAGATTTTCTTCTTGAGACTAAAGAGAAGCTTTTCTTCTTATTTGTATTCTGTATTGTTTGAGGGGCTGCAATCTATCTGTTCGTATAGCTAGATATATAGATATAGATTATCTATAAACACACATCTAGATCGCATCTTTATACTTGCTTCAGTCATATTCTTTAACACATCTGAAACAAATATTTGAGTAAAAAAGCGTATTAAAGCTGGTCAAATATTCAACAGTTTAATGTTCAATCATATGTTATCAGTCCTTTAGAGCTCTTAAATTTAAATGTTGTTAATCAAAACAGTGAGAAACTTCCATGCTTCCTAACAATTTGAAATGAAAACTATTAAAAACTGGATTTGCTTGAAAATTGAGTTTACAAGCATCGATTACATATCCTAAAAATCCTAAAAAAGAATTTTTTTAAACACAAAGCTTAAAAGATTTGTCTATTTTTGGGGAGTTATTAAAATTTACTCAAAAAATCTCAAATTGAAAGGAATACTGGCAAAATCTTGCAAGTCTGTGAGTCTGATTTCCTACAAACAAATAAACCTAACACACCAACAGAAAATATATATAAATAAACCTAACATAAGATAAAATATAAAATATAGATAAAATATATATAAGATGTATATACTGTATTTATAGGTTATCTATGAACACCATGTTTTTACTTATTCTTTGACACGTTTCTCTCTCTGCAAACTAAATAACTTTTTATAGTTTTTAGATACTTTTCCTTCAAGCATGGCTAGGATGGCTTATTGGGGGGNGGTTGACTAACATCTTAAAGAAACTGAGAGCAGTTATGGGGGCGTAATATTACATCTTCCTACTGCAATCTACATTCTACATTTTTGTGCATTGCACTCACCCAAACTAAAAGATTAAGAAAAGAATTAAAATATATTCTGATTTACAACAATACCCTTCAAAGCTTTGTCTGATCAAGTATTGCATTAAAAATCCATGTTTCCCATTTTGAAGACGGAATATTTTTATTTGTGGTTTCTCTACAAAAGTGACTCGCGCATTTCTTCCTTGAGAAACGATGGAGAAATGAAGGTTTCAAAGGTACATCGGACATGCCACTCTATAAATGGAGGGTCACTTGAAATTACGCATGTGTTCCATTTAAGTATAATTACTTCGTATAGAGAAAATACTTTGAAATCTCACTTTTGCCCTTAACTAAAAAAGTTTCATTAAAAAAAGCTTTATTCAATAATACTGCCTTCAGTTTAAATATATATTTGATATCTTAATTTTTTATACAATATGTAGCAATCCTATGAAAATATAGATATTGTTTC